ATACACTTTTTTTTTTTTTTTTTTTTTACTAAAAGCTGAACCGGTCTGGTCCTCTTGGCAGCTTCTTCTTTGTCCAATATATACCAACGTGTTTTGGGAAACCTGATCTCTAATCTGACTCCTAAACAATTCTAGAGTGACCCTTCCAGAAGGGAGAACAGTAAAATAGGACTAAAGGTTTATATATACAACATATCTTTCTAGTCAAGAGAATAAATGTTTTGGACAGGATTAAAACCTCATATTCCAATTGAGTCAGCTCAATAGCTTAATGAAGGAACTACTACCCTTTGGTAGGTATACTGACCTTAAGCCAGTGGTTTTCAACCTGTAGGCTGTGACCCACTAGGGGGTGAGGAATGACCTTTTCACAGGGGTCGTCTAAGAACATCTGAAAACACAGATATTTTACATAATGATTCATAACAGCAGCAAAATTACAGTTAGAAAGTAGCTAGGAAAATAATTTTATGGTTGGGGTCACCACAGCATGAGGAACTGTATTAAAGGCTAGCAGCATTAGGCAGGTTGAGAACCGCTGCCTTAAACAATGTTTAAGCCAGAATTTATAACAGTAATGTATTGCTACTAGAGACTTCAAATGGTCAATGTATGCTTGCTAAGTTTGAAATAAAAAAAGCACAATAAAAGGGGGTAATAGTGAGAAATGTTCTGGCACTCCTTTTGCTGCCCTGTACCCCAAGAATAACTTTACCCAGCTACTTTACTTTTCCTTTGAGTGTTCTTTTATGCAAGGCTGAGATTATTTGTTGCTTGTTTCTAACACCATGCACCCCTGTTTGTTTTGGAACTATGTAGACCAGGATAACCCAGAACTCAAAAATCAGCCTGTCTCTGCCTCCCTAGGGCTGGAATTAAAGGCGTGCACCAGTATGCACAACGTCATTGATAACTTTTGATCTGTTACCTCAAAGAATGGTTATGATGGAAGCTAAACAAGTACCCTCTGCTGACCTTTTACCCGCGACCAACTTAAACACTGGGGTGGTATTTGAACCCAGGACTCCACGCCCTGGATGCCTAGTCACTGGCTACAACCACTGCGCATGCCTCGAAGCATATCCGGGAACCTGGCGCAAGGGTGGAGGTGGAGCTACGTTATTCCCAGGCCCCGCGCGCAGCCTCAGAAAGCCGCAGGCCCTCGACCAATCAGAGCCCAGCAGGGCAGCTCCTGAGCCAATGCCTGCGCGCGACCCTTGGGGGCGCGTTCCAAACGGAAGGATTAGAGGGGTCACGGGAGGGCGGTGAGCGTGGTGGGTGGGATAGAGGCGTCCCGCTGACTCGATACTGCCATCCGCCAGCGGCGAGTGACAGAAAGCAGGCCAGGACGGGGTCCTGGAGCGAGCGGACTGGGGGCCGTTTGCGGGCCAGGCGCCGCTTCGTCGTTTCCCTCGCCGCTCCACCCTCGGCAAGTGGAACGTTCCAAGATGGCCGCGGCCGGGCCCGGCGGCCGCTCCGCTCCCGAGCCCCCCCCGTCAGATACCCATGTGGTTCCGTCCAGCGGCTCTCGAGCGGGCGCCCCTCGGGTCTCACGCAGTGGCTCCGGCCGTGCGAGCGTCACAGGCTCGGGGGCGGGCACTTCCCGGAGCACAAACTCTTAGGGTGGTCGGCTTGAGATACTACGATTTGACAGGGCAAACTTGGTGGGGCGACCTGGGTTTTATTTTTGAGACAGGGTCGCGCTCTATATGTAGTCCAGGCTGGCTCCGAGCATACCGTGTCGGCCAGATTGACCTAAAACTCAATGAGATCCCCCTGCAGAATGCTAGGATTACAGGAGCCACCGACGAGGGTGGGGAGGAGCTTGAGAAAATACTAAACGTTGCTCAGATGTTTCATAAAAATAACAATCTTTAGCCGGGCATAGTGGCACGCACCTTTTATCCCAGCACTCCGGGGTGGGGGCGCAGAGACAGGTGATCCCTGTGATTTTGAGGACAGCTTGGTTTATAGAGTGAGTTCTATGACAGCTAGGGCTACATAATGAGACCCTTCCTTGACCCTCCGCCAAAAAAAGAAAAAAACAAAACAAAATAGTAACAATGGGGGCTAGAAAGATGGCTCGGCAGTAAGTGCACTGGCTGCTTTTCCAAAGGACTGGGTTCATCCCTAGCATCCACATGGTAACTCCAGTTCCAGGATATCGAAAGCACTCTCCTAGCCTCTACGGGCACTCACGTGGTGCACAGGCATAAATACAGCCAAAACACCTATAGATGTAAAATAAATAAAAATAAAACACCAACAATTAGCTTCATATTCTTTCATAACTCAAGTCCATTACCGGCATCCAGTCCTTCCCCATTCCCTTATACTCGACCTTTCTCGTTCTTTTCTTTGTTATGCTGTACCCCACGCGTACATTTGTTTACATATATATTATTGGCTACATTATAAATATGAGAACATGCATCTTTTCTGAGATTGTATGAACTCATTTAACATATATTCTAAGTTCATCCATTTTCCTGCAAATGTTTAACTTTTTGTTACAGCTGAATAACATTCCTTTTGGGGGGGAGGTTGAGACAGGGTTTCTCTGTCCTGGAACTTACTTTGTAGACCAGGCTGGCCTCGAACTCACTGAGATCTGCCTGTCTCTGGCTCCTGTGCACTGGGATTACAGACGTGCATCATCGCCCGGCTAGCATTCCATTTTTTAATATATGGCTAATGAAAATTTGTTTTGTATGTATCTGTTAATGGACAACTAGATCAACTCCATTCTTGGCTAGTGATTAAAGTAGTAAGAAATATTGGGGTGCCAATATCTTTATGGTAGGGTATGGAGTTATTTGGGTATATGCCTAGGAGTGAAGGAGCTGGGTCATATAGCAGTTCCATTTTTTAGTTCCAAAATGATTTCCACAATGACTTCATTAACTTGCACCACCACCAATAGTGAATAAGGGTTCCTTTCTCAACACCCTTTGCAACATTGGTTGTTAGACTTATTGATAGCCAATCTGACTGGAGTAGTTTTTTTGGGGGAGGTTCAAAACAGGGTTTCTCTGTGTAGCTTTGGCTGTCCTTGAACTCACTCTAGACCAGGCTGAACTCCAACTCACAAAGATCCACCTGCCTCTGCCTCGAAAGTGCTAGGTGGGATTAAAGGTGTATGTTACCATGTCCAGCTCATTTGTACTTTAAATTGTCTATTTGGTTCACTTTCTCATTTGGTGACTGGCAGTTTTGTTTCCTTAGTATTTGATTTCTGCAATTCTCTGTAAATTCTGGATATCTGCCCCTTGTCTGAGATGTAGCTAGTGAAGATTTTCTTCTGTTCTGTATGCTGTTGGCTCTGCCCACTGTGTTCCCTTTGCTGTATAGAAAGTGTTTATTTTCATACAGTCCCATTTCTTGATAGTTGGGGTTAGTTCCTGTGCTCTATTCAAAAGTTATTTGAGCCAGGAGTGGTGACACATGCCTTTAAATCACAGCACTTGGGACGCAAGAGGCCTGGTCTACATAGGGAGTTCCAGGGCAGCCAGGACTACATATTGAGACCCCGGAAAGAAAGAAGAGAAAAGAAGATGAACGAATGAATCCCCAATACTGTGTTTTCTGTTAAAAGTTTGAGAGTTTCAGGGTTTTTTAAAAAAATATTTATTATTCAGTGTTCTGCCTGCATGTATGCCTGCACACCAGAAGAGGGCACCAGATCTCATTACAAATGGTTGAGCTTTCATGTAGTTGATGGGAATTGAACTCAGAATCTCAGGAAGAACAACTAGTGCTCTTAACCTCTGAGCCATCTCTCCAGTCAGTGTTTCAGGTTTTAATTTTTTTGTTTTTGTTTTTTCGAGACAGGGTTTCTCTGTATTGTTTGGAGGCTGTCCTGGAACTCGCTCTGTAGACCAGACTGGCCTCGAACTCAGATATCCTCCTGCCTCTGCCTCCCCAGTGCTGGGATTAAAGGCGTGCGCCACCAACGCCTGGCTCAGGTTTTAATTTTTAAAACATTTATTTTTATCTTATGTGCATAGGTGTTTTGTCACGGGTGTTGGGTCCCCTGGAACTGGAATTAGACAGTTGTGAGCTGCCATGTGTGTGCTGGGAAAGGAACCCAGGTTTTCTGGAAGAACAGTGTTCTTAACCACTGAGTCATCTCTCCAGCCTGTGTTTCAGATTTTATTATTATTGTTGTTATTATTATTTTGGTTCTTCGAGACAGGGTTTCTCTGTATTGTTTTGGAGGCTGTCCTGGAACTCGCTCTGTAGACCAGGCTGGCCTCGAACTCACAGAGATCCACCTGCCTCTGCCTCCCAAGTGCTGGGATTAAAGGCGTGCGCCATCACCGCCTGGCTATTCATTTATTTTTATATACATTGGTATTTGCTTGCTTGTGTATGTCTGTATAAGTGTCAGGAACTAGAGTTATAGATAATTGTGAGCTGGCACGTGGTTGCTGGGAATTAAACCTGGGTCCTCTGGAAGAGCAGTCAGTGCTCTCAACCTCTGAGTCATCTCTCAAGCCCCCTTCTGTGGTTTCTTTAATATCTTGTCATTATCTTTGTAGAGGTGTTTCACTTCTTTGATTAGACATATTCCTAAATACTTATTTTTGGAGGAACTACTTTGAAAGGAATATGTTCCCTATTTTCCTTCTTGGAGAATAGCCTGTTAGCATAAATAAAGGCTACCTACTGGTTTTATTATTTTTTTTGAGATGGTCTCACTATGTAACCCTTACTAACCTGGAAATTTCTATGTAGACCACAGGACTACATAGGGACTTGGACTCACAGGGATCTGCCTGCCTCCAATTTCTGAGTGCTGAAAGGCTGCTCTTTTCCTTTCTGAAATTTAAATTAGAAACAAGCTTGTTTTATATACATGTCAATCCCAGTTCCCTCTTCCCTGCCCCCCACCGGCCCCCATCCCATCTCCTTTCTGCTCCCCAGGGAGGGTGAGGCTTTCCATGGGGGATTGTCAAAGTTGAAAGGCTGTTTTTAATAATGATTTTTTATCCTATAACTTATTGTTATGTGTTTATTAGGTCCATGAGTTTCCTAGCAGGCCCAATAGGGTCTTTTAGGTAAAGAATCATGTCATCAAGAAGCCACAATCATCTTGATACCAAAACAAGGTAAAGGCAAGAAGAAAAGAGAGAAGGTGGAGGAGGAAGAGGAGGAAAGAGAGAGACAGAGACAGAGACAGAGAGAAAGAGAGAGAGAAAGAAAAAACACACAGACCATTTTTTTTGATGATTAAAGATGCAAAAATTCTTAACAAAATGCTTACAAACTGAATTCAGGAATACATTGAGAAGATTACACACATTATGACCAAGTGGGCTCCATCCCAAAAAGGCAAAGTTGTTTCAACATACAGACAGCAGTAAATGGAATACATCATATAAACAAAGGACAGAAATCACATTAATTATTTCGTTGATGCTGAAAACACATTTGACAAAGTTCAACAAGTTTTCTGTGATAAAAGCTCTGGGGTCTGTAAGAATAGATGGCAAATGCCTCAAAATAAGAAGGACTATATACAATAAACCAACATTATATTAAATGGAGGCATACTGAACATTCCCTCTAAAATCAGGAATGAGATAAGGAAAGATGCCCACTTGCCCCTATCTTATTTTATACAGTGTTAAAGTCTTGGCTATAGCAATTAGACAAGAGACATAAAAGGGATAATAGGAAGGAGAAAAGTCACACTCCCCTTATTTCTATTTTGAGACAGGATCTTACTATGTAGCCCTGACCAACCTCGAACTTGTTTCTGTAGATCAGGCTGGCCTTACACTCATGGAGATCTGCCTATCTCTACCTCCTGAGTGCTAGGATCAAAAGGTATATGCTATCACACCCAGCACATTTGTTTTTTTAGTTTTTGAAGAAAGGGTCTTTTGATGAAGCTTAGACTGTCCTAGAACTCACGGAAATCTTCCTGTCTAGATTACAGGCATGTGCTATCACATTTGGTGATTCTTTATGTCTGTTCATTTTGGTCAGTTTAGTTTGCCTCTGGTTCCTTTTTTCCTGGTGGTAGTGGGGATGCACCCAAGGCTTTATATATGCTAGGCACACACTGAGCTCCATCCGCTTGTCATCCTGTTCTGGGGGGTTTTGATTCTTTTCAGTGTGTGCCACAGGCTGACAGATTAGGTATTTTTACCTGTGGCCCAGATCTAAGTCAATTACCATTTACTGCATGAATGACTTAAGCTTCAAGGATGATTTAGAAGCAATTGTGTCTAAGGCTCTGATTTCTCTTGTTGATTATCTTGAGCCTTTATGCAGGGAAAAGGTTCAGCATTCTCAACAATAACTTTTTTTTTACAACACAGTCACTTAGGACAGAAATTTCTTTTAACCTCCAAGGTAATGTTTTGGGACTACAAGTGACTGGCTCCTTTGAGAATTAGAAGTAACTAATTCTTCAGGGCATCATCAGCTCAGTGGCATTCCTAGAGGTCTGCCCTGGATCAAGGATAACAGATTCCCTTACTAGAGTTCTTGGTGGGAGCAGTAGTCAGTTTTCCCTTAGTCTGACAAACTACCAGATATAATTAAAGTATAAGGAGGAAAAGTCTATTTTGGTTCACAGTTTTGGAGGTTCTAAGTCATGATCTAAGTAATTTCTACCAGGTCTTTATCTCTCAAAGGTCAAAAAACAGGTGGTACTAGCATCATCCTTGGTTAGAATCCTTTAAGATACAGATATATGGGCTGGAGAGATGGCTCAGTGGTGAAGAGTGCTTGCTGCTTTTTCAAAGGACACAAGTTTGGTTCCTAGCACCCATGTTTGGCAGCTTGCAATTGCCTGTAACTTCAGTTCCAGGAGGATTTAACACTCATGGTTTCTGAAAGTATTTGTACTCATAACCACACACTCTCACACAGGCACACGCATACATATAACTAAAAATATAATACATTTAAAAAGAAAGATATGGGCCTTTGAAAGTCATTCACGATCCAAACTCAGGAAGCTGTTCTGAGATGTAGCACTGGAGAGTCTATAGTTTTTGTCTGGGGACAGATTTCATAGTTTCTAGGTTCCAAGGGTGAGCTCTGTATTGGATGGGTAATTTAACTTGCCCTGCGCCCTGAGCAGGGAAAAGAAATGAAGTAGTTTCCACCTCAGTCATGTCAGTTCCACCTGAATTCACAGCTCACAGTGGTTTTGATTTCACCTCCCCACTTTTAAAAATGGTTTTTATTATACTCTAAATTTTCTATCTACTCACGTCCCTGTCCTTGCCCCTGAAAGGAGGACATGGCATCCGTTGTAGATTGCTACACAACTAGTGGCAGGCTGGGTGATGGCAGTGGTCCACATGTCAGTCTTCATCTGAGGCCCTGGGGCCCACATACTGGCAGACAGCATCATAGTGGAACTCCACCACCTGGCTCTCTCTCCCAAGCTGTACCAAAGCCTGACTCTTCATGCTGTCCCGACTCAGGAGAAATCCCACCTGAGGAGACATGGGGTAGAGTCAGCAAGGTCGGCCCAGATCCTCAGTGATCTCCACACTCATTTTCAGGCATGCAGACTCACCTTTCCAGCATGGGCTCCCAGCACCACCATCACACGGTGGCCTTCTGCCTTGGGAATCAGGGTTTCTAGCATGTCTTCTCTCACGCCTGCAGATGAGGGAGAGGGGAATGAGGTCCAGGCAAGGTCCAGTCTGGCCAGGTCCTGTCAGGAGGGCCTTTGCTAATATTTATTACAGCTACAGCCCCTCCCCCCCACCCCAAGACAGGGTTTCTCTGTGTAGCCTTGGCTGTCTTGGAACTAACTCTATACACCAGGCTGGTCTTGAACTCACAAAGATTCAACTGCCTCTGCCTCCCAAGTGTTTGGGATTAAAGGCATAAACTGTCACCACCAGCAGAGCTACTCTTACATCCTTTTGATAGAGTCCCACTCTACCTATTTCACAGGTGAGAAAACCAAAGAGTAATTCAGAGAAATAACTACCATATAGGAGCATTTTCCTACAGAAACTATTTACTGGGCATGTTCTCAGTCTGCCCTATAGTGTGAGCTCAATACACTTCTTCCTGCAAAGGCAATAGTTTTTTGACAGGGACAAGTAGTCATTTTAACACTAATCTGACACAGAAAATACATAGGGTTTGGGTAATTCCTGTCAAGGAAGTATCTGCTCTGGAAGAGGATGATGGGCCTTGCAGAGAACCTAACCCTGACCAACTTGCCAGCTCTTGGTCTCGGATCTCACTCTTTCCTTCCTTCCTTCCTTCCTTCCTTCCTTCCTTCCTTCCTTCCTTCCTTCCATCTCTCCCTCCTTCCCTCCTTTTTTTTGGGGGGAGGGGTTTAAGACAGGGTTTCTCTGTGTAACAGCCCTGGCTGTCCTGGAACTCGCTCTGTAGACCAGCCCAGCCTCGAACTCACAGAGATCCGCCTGCTTCTGCCTCCCAAGTGCTGGGATCAAAGGCGTGAGCCACCACCACTTGGCTCTCCTTTCTTTTTAAAACAGGATCATACACTACAGTTCAGGTTGGCCTATAATTTGCTATAGTCCAGGTTGACTTTGGACTTGTGGGAATCCTGACAGCCTAAGTACTAGAATGGATCCCCTCTTTCTTATTTTCCCCTTCTTTCTTCTTAAAAACTATTTTTTAGATTTATTTATTTTATGTGCATGAGTGTTTTGCTTGCATGTATGTTTGTGGCACCATGTATGTGTCTGCTGCTCACTGATATCAGATGAAGGTGTCAGATCCTGAAACTGGAGATACAGACAGTTGTGAGCTGCGAGTTGTGCCATGTGGGTGCTTGGAATTGAACTTGGGTCCTTTGGAAGATCAGCCAGTGCTCTTAGCTACTGAGCAACCTCTCCTGACCCTGGAATAGACCCTTTCTTTATCATCCTCTAGGATGGAAACATCCCAGGTATAGTGGCTCAGACTTACCTTCTAGAACTCGGCCTTCATCTGTCCGACACACACATGTACCTGGGCTCAGGACATCTTCAATTGTCATCTAGAGATGAATGAGGAGGAAGTAAGATGTCACAAAGGTAAAGGGCCAAGTCCCTGGAAGAGGAAGGGGACTCAGATTGCGGTGTTCATACCTTGGTGTTATAATACCGGCCACCCTTGTGCAGTTTGTCAATGAACCGCACACGTAAGTCCCTGTGCAGCCAATGCTTGTTCTTAGACGTTGCTTTCTCACTCTTTGCCCCAGGTGCATCCTGTCTGTGGAGAAAGCCAGCATGTGGCTTAGGCTGCTGTCATACCCATGTTAAAGCCAACCTATCTTTAAAGGGGATGCTGTGAAACGCACCCCTATTGCTGTTCCCAGTTCCTTCTCTGCCCTGCCTCGCCTTGGAAGTTTTCCTGACTGCTTGAGCCACCCCATACATTCCCTTCTGCAAGCCCAGAGGCCCAGGCTCCTACCGGTCTGCGGGATGTTTCCGCTTCCTCTCTGAATCCTGCCTTCTCTTTGAGTCTGTCTGATTCTGCACGGCCTTCAATGACAAGGTTGTTCCAGTTGTTCTGTTCTGCTGCTCTGTGGAAGTTTTGCTCATGTGACCTGTTCAACAGGGTATAGGGACATCAAGGAGAATGTCTCGCCAGCATTTCCTTTCAAGGGTCATTGCCTTCCTGCCAAAGGCCCCATTTCCCATCCACCTCCTCCAGGAAGGTCCTCTCAACCACCCAGCCCACAGCAAAGCCACCAGAGTCAACTGCCTGGTGCTCATAACAGAGTAGAAGGACTCAGGGACCTCTAAACTGCCCACAACCATTACTGTTCTGTTTGCCTCTCCGTTGTACACACCCCAACCCTAGTCTCAGATATATAGGTTTTTCGAGACCGGGTTTCTGTGTATTGTTTTGGAGGCTGTCCTGGAACTCGCTCTGTAGACCAGGCTGGCCTCGAACTCACAGAGATCCGCCTGCCTCTGCCTCCTGAGTGCTGGGATTAAAGGCGTGCACCACCACCGCCCAGCTAGTCTCATATTTGGCAAAAGAGAGGGCCATCACTCCATATACACAAGGACTTCCTGGGGGTAGGAATTTCCATACCCATTTCTTGCTGCTTAGAGAGGATGAAGATGCAGATCAACCACCTCTCAGTCAAACTGAACAACTAGTTTGGGGATGTGGCTCAATGTTAGCAGTGTCAAGGCTCTGCATTCTATTCCCAGCACCACCAAACAAACAAAAAAATGAATAAACTATTCTTGTTCCTTCTTATGCCTGACCTCTGACTGGTAGTCAGTCCCACACTACTCTTCCTCCCTCCAGATCTAGAGAGAGCCCGCCTGTCACCATGCTTCCCAAGTTTCCAGCTATAAGAGTCTCACCTGGCTGTGAGGCGTGGCTATCAAACTCCTGCTGGGAAACAGGCTGTAGGCAATACTCACTAACAGTCACAACGCGGTTGCCTACTGCCAGCCGAACCATGGCCCGTACATTGTCAGGATCAAGGCCTTCTACCTAAGGTGGGAGGTAGGGATAAGGCAGGGGGTGAATGGACTACAGCTGCTAGGTCTAAAATGTCCAGCCCTACCTCCAACAGGTTTGAGCTCCCTGTGTCTCTCTTACCTTACTTTCTTTTTGGATAGAGGCTCTCACTATGTAGCCCTGGCTGAACTGTAACTCAAATCCACCAGTTTCTGAGTGCTGGGATTAAAGGTATATACCACTATGCCCAACTGTATGCTGTGACCTTTGATGGCTAGGGCCAGGCATGATTCCTTTATCTCTTCAACTAAACTGTGACTCCTAAGAAGTAAGTTCCTCAAGCCGGGCGTTGGTGGCGCACGCCTTTAATCCCAGCACTCGGGAGGCAGAGGCAGGCGGATCTCTGTGAGTTCGAGACCAGCCTGGACTACCAAGCGAGTTCCAGGACAGCCTCCAAAGCCACAGAGAAACCCTGTCTCGAAAAATCCAAAAAAAAAAAAAAAAAGAAGTAAGTTCCTCTGTCTCCCTTAGCAAAATGTAAGATGAAGATGTGTGTGGGGGGGGGTATGCATACACATACCTACTGTTTGTGTGGTGTGTAGGATAGACGCCCACATCAGGTGTCTTTCTTGAATGCCCATTACCTTATGCTTTTTTTGAGACCACATAGCTAGCCCTGACTGACCTGGAACTTACTATATTACCAGGCTAGCTTCAAAGTTACAGAGATCTGCTTGCCTTGGTCTTTGAAGTGCTGGGATTAAAGGTGTAAACCACCTTACTTCTTTGAAATTTTTAGTTCATGTGTGCATATTTTACGTGCATGTATATGTGTCTGTACACCATGTCATGCGTGTGCCTGGTGTCTGCTGAGCCCGTGTTGGGTCTCCTGGAACTTGAGTGACAGACAGGCATGAGCTGCAATGTGGGTGCTGGGAATCAACACAGGTCGCCTGGAAGAGCAGCCGGTGCTCTCATGGCTGAGCCATCTCTCCAGCCCCACAGCCTTTTTTTGAGACAGTGATCTTGGAGCTTATTGATTCAGCTAGGCTGGCCAGCGGGCCGATGAGTTCTGGAGACCCATCTAGAGTCTCTACTTCCCAGCTTTGGGTTATAGATGCATGCATGCCTGGCTTTTATATGAGTGCTATGGATCCAAACTCATGTCCTCATGGTTCCATGCTTGTCAATCACTTTTACGCACTGAGACATCTCCCCACCTCTCATTTTTTCCAAGACGGGTTACAGGCTAGACTAGTACTTGTCATGTAGCTGAGTCTGGCCTCAAACTTGCAGCAATTCTCCTGTTTCAGCTTCTGAAGTACTGGGTTTGCATTCATAAGCAACCATGTTTGCTTCAGACATCCTTTAAACACTTAAGTTTCATGGAAATTGTGGGATATGGCATTTTCTTCCTTTTGGTTGAGAGCTGAGACTCAAAAAGGCCCAGCAAATTGGTCTGGAGTACCCGCTGAAGCATTGGGCCAGGCAGGCCTGTAAGACTAGGACTTATAGGGCTAGAGAGATAGCTCAGCACTTAAGATAACTGTTACTCTTGCAGAGGACCTGAGATCAGTTCCTAGTATCCATGCTAGGTGGCTCACAGACACCTGCTAACCCATTTCTAGGGGAAACCCAGAGTTGAGCACCCATACGCACCTATAAATAACTACAAGGTGTCATTGTAATCTTGATTGGCCTGGAACTCGCCATGTAGACCAGAGTGACCTCAAATGCATGCCTGCCTCTGCCTCCTGAGTGCTGGGATTAAAGGCATGCAATACCAGGTCTGGCTATATATACACATAATCTAAAAAATAGTGCCATGAAGAGCTTTGCATTGGGGGAGTTCCTCCCTGTTTCACTCCCTGGCCATTTTGGTGGCTGCTCTGGTTGGGGGCTGCCCTGAACATAAGATAGGAAGATGGTGGTCAGAGACAGAAAGGTGTCTGGAGTCAGTCAACTCTAGGCTACAGTTTGTTATGAAAAGTGAAAAATAGATGCTGTGATACAGGCAGACTCTGAAGATGACCAAAAGGGGCAAAGAAACATTGGTTACCCTCACCACCAACTACCAGCTTGGAGGCAATCTGAAATAGAACTGGTGTCCATATTGCCATATTGCCAGTGGCACTAATGTTGAATTGAGCACAGCAAGAGGAAAGTATTACAGAGTATGTGCACGGGCTTGCCGCGATTCTGATAGTATTAGAAGCAAACCAGAGCAGATTGATGAAAAGTAAAGTAGAAAAGCTCTTTTTAAATACACAACCAGAGCTCGTTAAAAAAAAACAACCACCACCAATCCTTTTTTTTTTTGCTATATATATGTGTGACATGTGTGCAGAGACATGTAGAGGCTCAAAGTTGTCATCAGGTTTCTCCCTCAGTTGCTCTGCACTTTCCTGAAGCAGGGTCTCTTGCCAAATGTGGAGCTGGCCAGTTCAGACTACTCCAGCCAGGCTGCTCTGAGGGTTCTACTTCCTCCTGAATGCTGGAATGGCCTGCAGCGGCCACACTTTCCTGGTGTTTATGTGAGTTCCGGGGTCTGGACGCCAGTGCTCAAGCTTGTGTAGTCAGTACTTTGTCCACTGAACCATCTCTCCAGCCCCTTCTCTTGTTTTTTCTAATTTATTTATTTTCATTTTATGTGCATGGGTGTTTTTCCATGGATGTCAGGTCCCCTAGAACTGGAGCTATAGACAGTTGTGAACTGTCATGTGGGTGTTGGGAATTGAACCCGGGTCCTCTGGAAGAACAGTCAGTGCTCTTAGTTACTGAGTCATCTCCTCAGCCCCCCTTCGCATGTTTTTTTGACACATGGTTTTGCTATATACCTAAGACTGGCTTTGAACTCACAACATAGCTCAGGATAACCCTGACTTTCAGTAATCCTCCCACCTCAATCTCCTGAGCATGTTACTATGCCCATCCCTTATCTTCACCCCTTCATTTAATTAAATTTTTTAAATTCCTGAGATTATAGTTTAATTACAACATTTCTCCCTTCCCTTTCCTCCCTCCAAACCCTCCCATTTATCCCTCCCCACTCTTTCAAATTCATGGCCTCTTTTTTTTTTTTTGGTTTTCGATTTGAAGCCTGTCCTGGAACTCGCTCTGTAGACCAGGCTGGTCTCAAACTCACAGAGATCCGCCTGCCTCTGCCTCCCAAGTGCTGGGATTAAAGGCATGCGCCACCACCACCCGGCCATGGCCTCCTTTTTACCAATTGTTATTGCATACATATATGTCATGTATATACATCTATATCCCTAAATATAACCTGTCCAGTCCATACAATGCTACCTGTATGTTTTCAGGGCTGTTTGGCCCTGCACAACCAATTGGCGTGCTCATCACTGGGCAAGGCCACCTTTCCACTCCCAGCTTCCCTCAGTTGCCTATAGTTCTCAGCGTGGGCTTGAGACCTCACAGATTTGTCTCGTTCCAGACTGGCGTGCTCATTGTTGTCACCCTTGATCAGCTCACGCATGGGCAGCCATGTTGGTGAGACTTTACAGGTGTAGCTTCTGCTATTGCTAAGAGACAACACTCTCACAGCAATCTCCTTTCTGCCTCCTTTTTGCAATGGTCCCTCAGCTTTGGTTTCAGAAATGTTTTGTGGATGTATCTATTGGGACTGGGCTTCACAACTCTGTATTTTGATTGGCTGTGGATTTGTATTTATTTTTGGAATAGGGTCTTGTTATGTATCCCAGGCTGGCCTTGTACTCTCGGAAATTCTTCTGCTTCAGTCTAAATGCTAGTGTTCTAGACCTGCTTCTTCCTCATGATTGTATTTTTTCCTGTTTGTTGCCTCTTACTACTGGGCCAGACCTCTATCCTTTGAAAATTTTTATTTTGCTTCAGGAAGTTACTAGGCTGCTTGTGCACTCACTATGTAACCCAGGCAGGTCTTGAATTTGTGATCTCCCTGCCTCAGTTTCTGGAGTGTTGGGATTACACACATGTGCCATGATACTTGGCTTGACTGGCAGCCTTTCTTTTTTTTGGTTTTTCGAGACAGGGTTTCTCTGTATTGTTTTGGAGACTGTCCTGGAACTCGCTCTGTAGACCAGGCTGGTCTTGAACTCACAGAGATGCAGCTGCCTCTGCCTCCTGAGTGCTGGGATTAAAGCCATGTGTCACCACAACTCTTCCTCACTCTGGCACTCCAATTAATCTTCCCTGCTACCTGCCATGGCTTCAAGGATATGCTGGTTTCTTACCTTCCCATAGAGACCCCGGAAAGGGCCAGAAAGGACCACCACAGCTCCTCCAGGCATCAACCCTTCCTTATCCTTCTCTCGATCCCCATCTGGTCTTGGTGGGTGGTGAGAGCCAGTGGAGGTCAAAGCCTTGGCCTCCATCAGGTTGGCACCCAGCCCTAAGCCTTTCGGCCTTAGAGAGTTGACTAGGGGCTTCACGACTCTGCAGAGAAGAACACAAGCTTGTGGGAGAACAAGTCCTCAACATTTTCCAGCATCCAAACACACCCCAGAAATACTTAGTTTTATATTTTTTATTTGTTTCTGTATGCTTGTACACCATGACACACACATGAAAATCAGAGGACAACTAATGGGAGTATATTCTCTTTTCACCATGTGAATTCTGAGGTCATCAGGTTTACATGCAAAGGTCTTTACCTGCCCAGCCATCTCACCAGCTCCACACCTATATTTAGATTACCCTTTCTGATATCATATTAGAACTTTCTGAGCTATAAAATGCCAGCTTTTCTTTTCTGGTGTTAGAGGTGGAATCCAAGGCCTCAATGCATGTTAAGCATACTCTACCAATGAGGTACACTTTCAGCCCTCCAAAATAGCAATTTCATTTGGTTCAAGTGAATTAACTTGTTGCATATACTATCTATTCCATCCTATCTACAAGTGCCAAGTGAGGTTCACATAAACAAATATAGTAACATCTCTACAGAAGAAATCACACGATAAGTATACAGAGCAAGGGGAACAGTTCTGAAAGCACAATTCCAATTACAGTCATGTTTGGCTACCAAATAACTTCAGAATTCTTTGGGGGGGATTTACTACTGCAAAGGAATTTTGATTTTCAGTCCTATGATGGAACTTAGGGCCTTTTACATGCTAGGCAAGCCCCTACCACTGGGGTACACACCAGTACAACAAAGTCTATGCAGTAAGAGTAAGCATGTTTAGTCTCTGCTTACTAGGACTAGATCCTACCATGTGTGCCTCATGAGTATAGTTTCATTTAACTCTTGCAACAAGCCTGTGAAGGCAGCACTACCATCTGTATTTGTCAGATGAGTAAACTGATCCACAAACAGAAAACTTTATATAACTAGGATCTTCTTACTGCTTTGAAGGAAAACCTGAGGTTGTTTGCTTTTTGGTTTATTCTTTTGCAATAACCGACTTGAACCCAGGCTCTGGGAAAACTGGAGTTTGAAACAGTAGTGGGGACTACTGAACTGGTGAGGGTGACAATATCCTCCCTCACCACCTGGATGGTTTTAGATTAAACGGAGCCACAGGGGGTCTTATTTATAGCCACTGTCCACCCTCCAAACCCCCCCAAACTCACTGACTGAAAGTATTGCCGATGCCCTTGCCAGGTTTCCATCCCATGCCCCGCAACATGGCCAGCCCATAGGCCTCCACAGGAACTGCCTCATAGTCGGCTTCCTCTGGCATCTGTTGGTCAGGCAGGAGAAGGGAGTCAGGCTTTGTTTGTGATGGCCCTGTGTGCAGTATTTGCTGGTACTCATGAGATGATTTCCTATCCTACACTCCTGGCCCTTGAACACTGTGTGTGCCTGGTTTCAGTAGAGGTTAGAAGAGGGCACGGGATGCCCTGGAGGCATGGTGGATGTGTGCCATGTGGGTACTGGGACTTCAGCCCAGGGTCTCTACAGGAGCAATAAGTGCTCTTCTGAGCCACTGCTCGAGTACCCTTGATCCCAATGATTTTGTTTGTTGGAGACAGGATCTTATTGTAGCACTGGCTGTCCTGGAACTCTTTATGGCAGCCAGACCAGGCTAGCCTCAAACTCAGAGATCAGCCTGCCTCTGCCTCTTACTCTTAAATGCTGGGATTAAAGGCATGTGCCACCGCACCCAACTCAACAACTATTTACAAAGAACCTATTATAGAGGCTGGAGAGAGAGCTCAGCAGTAAAGAACCATGGTGCGCACACATATATGAAGGGGAAAATCATATACGTGAAATAAAAATAAATATGCCTTAAAAGTTTTTAAAGAACCTATTCTGTGGTATTTTAGATGCCGAGGATAAGGAACTAATAAAATGGAAAGTCTCTGTTAGGGTTTATCATTTGGTTATCAAGCCATAGAATAAATCGAATTCTGAAATCATGATCCGTTTTATAAAGAAAAATGAAGCAGTACTGTGCACAGTGGCACTATCCAGTAACCCTGGCTGTGTATGAGACGAGGAAGTAGTGTGGTTTAAAGTCAAGAACTTGAAACCAGCCCAGGCAACATAGTGAGACTCCAACTCAATAGCAAAAACAAAAAATTGGCTACAGGGTGTGCAGAGGGAGGAGCGCCACTGCCCCATCATTTAATCAGAGGTGAGTCATATGACAGGAGAGGGTGTGTGGACAGGACAAGAGTGCTCGGAACGGGCTCAGTTGTAAAAATAAGCCCTTACTGGATATAGAGTGATAGCCCGTCTCAAAATACGCGTGGGGTGGAGAAACGAAGACCATGAATTTAAGGTCAGCTTGAACTACATAAAACTGTCTCAAAAAAACCCAAAGCATATCTGAAGACTGATGAGAATAGTTCAGCTGAAAGGTGTATCACAAAAAATTTATGAATAAAAACTTCATTATTTCCATAAATACACCTTCCTTCCTCCTGCTGCCATTTCCTTATCCCTTTACAACCACTCCATACACTGAAGATGCCTCACATCGACGAATAACACACTGATTTCCCACAAGTGTGCTGTTCCTTGGGCTGTCGCTGCCATTAAGAGTACTTACAATGCTGGGTGGTGGTGGCGGCGGCGCACGCCTTTAATCCCAGCACTCGGGAGGCAGAGTCAGGCAGATCTCTGTGAGTTCGAGGCCAGCCTGGTCTACAGAGTGAGTTCCAGGACAGCCTCCAAAACAATACAGAGAAACCCTGTCTCAAAAAACCAAAAAGCAAAAAAAGTACTGAGGCACTCTCTTTCTTGTCTACTCAGACCCTAACCTTCCAGGCTTCACTGCTACCACTCCTCAGAGCGTACTTACCACCTGTACCCTGGACGAGGCTACTTGCTTCCTTCCTTACCTTCATTACTATGATATTTGGGTCACAGCAGCCAGAGCGGATCCTGTTACAACCCTTGTCAGCTCAGCATTTTCCCATAGCTGTCATTTCACTCACACTAAAAGACAAAGTCCTCCCGTGGCTCAGGAGGCCCCTTTGATCTGGCCACCTCTGCCTTCATCTACGGCCTGGCCCCTCATTCATCATTCATTCCAATCCAGTCACACTGGTTTCCTTAGTGTTCTTCAAGAACAAAGAAGGAAAAAAAGAGGAAACAAACAGCGCGGCTCCAAAGAGTGTGTGCCCTTATGGCATTTGTATTTCCATCTACTTTGTTGTCCACCTCATTCAGAAAATCCCAGAATTCAAGTACTTTCTTTTTTGTGACAGCCTGCCATCTATTTGTTGAAGCTTCTAAGAAGGATGGATGGAAGAAAGGCTAATTGGCAAGGCTCTGGGACACACATGCACACCTTCCCTGCTACGTGCAAGGAGGCTAGCCACACAGGGTAGAGGGAATGACGGAGGACGGCAGAGGGGCAGCTCACTGTCTCAGCCTGAGGTTCGCTGTCTGTTCCTTCCCCACTGGCATTGCATCCTTTCTGGATCATGGGGATAGTGAGCGTGGGGTCAACACCTGCATTCTCCCTCTCCTCCAGGGACTTCTTGGATTCTAAGGAAGAATGGGACGATCAATGAGGCCATACTCTATCCTTCCAACTTCCTCCCTGTCTGTCTGCACTGGGGCAGAGCAAAGGGGGAGGTTTCACTTACCCTCAATGAGCTCCTTCACAGCCAGGGACAGCACGCCATCTGACATCAACACAGTTTCTGAGGAGGGCTTACTGCTCTTGGCCAGTGGTTGCCTTCGAGAGCCATTCTGGATCAATGGGATGACCAGCTCCTTGGGGGCTTCTGGAGGGTTCACACTGATGTGGGTACAGAGAGAAAAGAATGGGAAAGCGCAGGTATTAGAAAGTAGAGATATCAACACCCAGCCCTACAGACAACGTTCCACAGCCCCCCCCATTTCTTTTCAAAATCGTTATCTCACTATGTAGCCCAGGCTGGTCTTATAAACTCGGTCCTCGTGGTGCAATCTTTTAGGGCTGAAATCACAAGCGTCCATCATCTTTCCTCATGTCTCCAGCTTTAAGTGTGTCTTCTGGAAACCATTCCTGGACTCTCAACAACGATGGCTTACAAGTCACCATCTTCGGTGGAGATTCTCCCCAGTTCCAGGCTAGCAAACTGCCTCGAGGACACCTGTCTTCCATTAGTCCCTGCCTGAGGTCTTTCAGATCAGCTTCTCAATTGTGCTGATGATGGCCTCCCCAAACCTGTATTTGCCTCCTTCCCCGAATCGGAAAAGCTCCCACACTATTTCAGTTGAGACACTAAGAGTCTTGTTAGTCTTTCTCCTTACCCTTTCTCAAAAGGTACATGTCCTCACGTCCCAATGACTTTTTCTCTGAGGAATATATAGCTTTGGTCATCAGGCCCCGTTCCCCCCCCCAACAAACCTCCTCCTTCTTGCACTTAAATTACTAAATTTCATAACAGTTAAACGTAGTGTTTTTTCGTTTTGTTTTGAATATAGGCTCTCATACAGCCCAGGGTAGCGTTCAACTTTTGATCCCCCAGTGCCAGCCTCCCAGGTGTTGACATTACAAGCGTTTGCCACCACTGCTGGATGCCTCCATAAGTTTCCTGAGGCCGTGTTTGAGGCTTTCTAAGTCATTGTCACCAAGGCAAACAACTCGTATTCTGCGCTCCTGCTTATGCCCTCCGCACCGATTTCCAAAACGTGAAAACCCGGCGTTTCACCTCTGCAGCTCCCTCCCTTCCACGGTCGTCAAGAAATCTTTCTCCTCAGAGGCTCGTCCTTCGCCATCTCTGGGGTCTGTCAGTCGCCTCCGGGCAGACGTGCGAGTGAAACCGAAAGAAATCGGGGCCGCTGAAGGAGCTGCCGGCGGTACACTCTCCGGGTCCGCCATCTTGTCCGGATTCCCAGGCTAGCGCGCTGCTTGCTGGGAAGTTTAGTTTACGTTCAATCGCTAGGGGCCGGGCCGGTCGAGACGGAAAAGGAACAACCTATCCCCACTAAGCAAAGCCTCAGGACAGGTCTTGAAGTCGTGGGAAAAACCGATGACGACTGTAGACGCTAAACGTCATAGGTATGCGCCGCGCCAAGCATTCTGGGAAATGTAGTTCTCAGTGATATAACCGTGGTTGAGTTTTGATTTGAGTCTTCCAAGGTTTTCAACCATTTGTAATGAAGTTTAGGGGATCCAATACTCTCTTCCGAACTCCGCAGGTACGGTGCACGCAGGTGACGCAATACATAAATGCAGGCAAAATGCTTATATACACAAAATAAATAAATCTTGTGTTTGTGAAGCACATAATGAGCATCCAAAGTGTGTAACTTACTGTGCATTACTGATGTAGGAAGTGTCATAAGGAGAAAAAACAGGACTATGCCAAGGATGTGTTTCAATTTGCAGTGCTGGTAACTTAACTAAATTCAGAACCTCACCTAGGCAAGCACGGTGCCACTGAACTATATTAAGTTAATTTCTTTTCTCTCTCCTTTTTTTCTCTTTTTCCCAGAGTCTTACGCCTTCTTGTCAAATGTCTTTAGAGCACATGTTTTTAATCTATTTATTTGTTTGTTTGTTTATTTGGTTTTTCAAGACAGGGTTTCTGTGTAGTCCTGGCTGTCCTGGAACTCACTCTGTAGACCAGACTGGCTTCAAACACACAGAGATCCACCTCCCTCTGCATCCCGAGGGCTAGGATTAAAAGTGTGCACTACCATGCCCGGCTTACTTATTTTTATTTTGTGTGCATTTGTGTTCTGCCTGCATGTATGTCTATGAGAGGAATATCTTGGAACTGGAATTACAAAACAGGAGGAATTGTCACAAGTCTGAGACAACTCTATGTGAGCCATGCGGATGCTGGAAATTGAACCTGGGTTCTCTGGAGGAGGAACCATCTCTCCAGCCCTGGGACACATGCTTTCTTTTTTTTTATTTAGATTAGAAACAAGCTTACTTTACATGTCAATCCCAGCTACCTCTCCCTCTCTTCCCCGCACCCCAGTCCCCCCAGCTCCCCCAGGCAGGATCTCCAGAGTCTGTTATTTCGTTCAGGGCAGGGCCTAGGCCCTCCCCCAGGTGGCCAGGCTGAGAGAGCATCCCTCATTATGGAATGGGCTCCCAAAGTCCATTTGTGTGCCACGGATAAATACTGATCTAGTACCCAAAGCCCCAGAGATTGCCTAGGCCTCCTCACTGACACCCACATTCAGGGAGGTCTGGATCAGTCCCTTGCTGGCCTCTCAGCCATCAGTCTGAGGTCCATGAGCTTCCCCTTGTTAGGTCAGCTGTTTCTCTGGGTTTCACCAGCCCGGTCTTGACCCCTTTGCTCATCACTCCTCCCTCTCTGTCACTGAGTTCCAGGAGTTCAGTTCAGAACACATGCTTTCTTTATTTTTTTAAATATTTATTTATTATGTATTCAGTGTTGTGTCTGCACATATCCCTGCAGGCCAGAAGAGGGCACCAGGTCTCGTTATGGATGGTTGTGAGCCATCATGTGGTTGCTGGGAATTGAACTCAGGACCTCTGGAAGAGCAGCCAGTGCTCTTAACCTCTGAGCCATCTCTCCAGTCCCCAAGAACACATGCTTTCTATATTGCAGTTTTCTGAGCTTTTGGATGAGGCAGTGTCTTTTTATCTTTGGCATAAAGGATAGGGAGCTTCCGGGCTGTAACCCCTTTGCCTGGGTGCACTTTTTTCCTCCTTCCTTCCTTCCTTTTCCTCTCTCTCTCTCTCTCTCTCTCTCTCTCTCTCTCTCTCTCTCTCTGTCTCTCTGTCTCTGTCTCTGTCTCTGTCTCCGTCTCTCTCTCTCTCTTGGCGAGAGCAGTACTGTTGTTGCAAGTTCATCCTTAACAATATATAGGTGGTGGTTGGGAGGGTCAGAATATCTATTCTTTGAAATTCCTCCCTCTCCCCTTTTTAGACAGGGTCTCATTATAAGCAATGAGTGGCCTAGAACTCACAGACATTTGCCTGCTTCTGCCTCCCAAGTGCAGAAATTAAAGGAATGTGCCATCACATCCAGCCCCCATATATTTTTGGGAATTTTCCATAACAGTATTATAAATTATCAAAAACATGAGATTAACATTTGTGTAATGCTATTTCTTTTTAAGCACTCAGCCACACCTCTAGCCCTGCGTGCAATTCTGTTAAATAAACTATTGTTCTTTTTCCCTTCCAGGATCCAATCTAGTATCTCATACACTACAATATAATTGTATGCTTCCTTTGTCTCCTGCAGTCTGTGATAGTCTTTGTCTTCACTAATTTTTGAATAATGTCAATATGGGTTGGTATGATGACCTTTCATAGTTAGACTGAGATTATGAGTTTAGGACACAAATTTCCAAGATGGGGTAGAGAGATAGCACAGCAGTTAAGAGCATTTATGGTAGAGGACCTGGGTTCAATTCCCAGCACCCACATAGTGGCTCACAACCATGCTAACTCTAGTTCTAGGAAATTCATTGTCCTCTTCTGACCTCCACAGGCACCAGACACACCCATTGTGCATATACATACCATTCATACATATGACATGCCTTTCTGATATTGAATCAGAGTTATGATGATGTTGATATGTCTTCTTATTACTTTTTCTGGATTTTTAAGAACTTTTTTTGTGACAGGGCCTAGGCTAACCTTGAGCTCATTATATAGCTGAGGCTTGCCTTGAACTCCTGATTCTCCTGCCTCCACCTTCCAAATACTGAGATTATAGGCAGGTATCATCAGGCCTGAATCCTGAACTTTTTTTGGTTGCTTATTAGCTTTTATTATTTTCCCACATTGTGGCAAACATATCTGAACACCACATTCTCTAAGCATGTACCATTATATAACAACTAAAACCAAAATTAGATACACCAACTTTACTAAAAAGATCTTGCTTTGATCTTGATCCTGAAAAATCACTTTTGAAAAGACAAATTCTTTCCATGCAGCCCTGACTGTCCTGGAACTCACAATGCAGACCAGGATATCCTCAAACTCACAGAATCAGTCTGCCTCTGTCCCCTGAGTGCTGCAATTTAAGACATGTGTCCCCATGCCTGGCTCATAATCATTTTTTTCATAATCATTTTTTACAAAGAAATATTTCAGTCTTTTTACTTAAGTTAATTTTTCAGGGTGGCCTTTGACTAAGAAGCCCCCCCACAATAGTCTCATATATTTGAATGCCTAGTCATCAGGGAGTGCCACTACTTGAGAGGGATTAGGAGGTATGGCTTGTTGAAGTAGGTCTGCACTTGTTGGAGGAAGTGTTTCTCCAGGGATGGGCTTTAGGGTTTCAAATGCTTAAGTCAGGCCCAGTGACTCTCTCTTCCTGCTGCCTTCCCAGCTGGATGCAGAACTCTCAGCTATTTCTCTTGCACCCTGTCTTCCTGCATGCTGCTATGCTTCCTGCCATGATGGCCATGGACTAAACCTCTGAATTGTCATAGTCACGGTATCTCTTCACAGCAATATAGCACCGACCAAGACATTCAGTAATATTAAATTATGTTGTCAAGAGTGAAGAAGAAATATATTAAAGCCTCACTGTGGTCAGATATTCAGAGAAAATAACAAAGAAATTGAGATGATCTAATCTAAAAACTGAGTCAGATTAAAATGAAGATTCTTATAGCCCAGGCACATACCTACTGTGAATAATGAAAATTTTGAGACATATTTTTGGTGCGTAGGTTATTGACATTCGAAAAACTTAATTTAGGGCTAGCTAGATGGCTTTTAATGGGTACGAGTGTCTGCTGCCAAGCCTGAAGACCTGAGTTCAATCCGTAAAACCTACATAGTGGAAAAAATAGATAGGGCTAGAGAGATGGCTGCTCTTCCAGAGGTACAGAGTTCAATTCCCCGCAACCACATGGTCATGGTGGCTCACAACCATCTAAAATGGAATCTGATGCCCTCTTCTGGCATGTACATGTATATGTTGAGCACCATATACATAAAATAAGCAAATCTTTAAAAAGAAAATAGAAAGATAGACTTGACTGTCACAAGTTGTCTTCTTTTTTCCCGAGACAGGTTTTCTTTGTGTAGCCCTGACTGACCTGGAACTCACTCTGTAGACCAGGCTGGCCTCCAACTCACAGAGATCCACCTGCCTCTGCCTCCCGAGTCCTGGGATTAAAGGCGTGTATCATCTCAGTCAGGCTACTAGTTGTCTTTTGGCAGTCATCCAAGTGCCATGGGATGGGACTCACACACTCACCCACATACATGCAAACATAAAGCAAATTAATAAAATAAAACAAAACACAAAAACAAATTTGTAGAATTACATGTAAAGTGAGAAACAAAGAATAAAGTAGAAAATTATCCATAAGGTTACAGGCAAAAGGAGTTTTCAGACCACAAATTCTCAGTGTGGCTCAACTCTTTTTTTTTTTTTACGAGACAGGGTTTCTCTGCATTATTTTGGAAGCTGTCGGTCCAGCCTGGCCTCGAACTCACAGAGATCCGCCTGCCTCTGCCTCCCAAGTGCTGGGATTAAAGGCGTGTGCCACCACCGCCCGGGTTTCAAATGCGTGGCTCAACTCTTTAGGGGTTTTCATGGCCACACTGCATTTAGTTAGGATTGCTTGCACAGACAGGAGTGTTTCCTTGAGCAAGGGCAACTTAAGGTTCGTGCACCACTGAGGAATATAACATCCATTCTCCTACCAACCATTAACTGCCTTTAGTTCCAAAGGGAGAATGGGGCCTACTATGCTCCTTCTCCATCCAAGATGGGTTGTTGACAGGTTCAGTCTTGTGCATGGGAGTTCCCAAGTACAACAGTCATGTCCTGTCCAAAAGACAGTGTTTCACTACACTCCTCTCCATCCTTCAAGCTCTTATATTCTTCCACAATGTTCCGTGTGTGTGTGTGTGTGTGTGTGTGTGTGTGTGTGTGTATGTGTGTGTGTGTGTGTGTGTTCAACAGTCACTTAATCTCA